CCGATCCGTGCTACTTAAAATGCACAAGTGATCCTGAAAGGTGGTTAGGCTTATCATCAGCAAACTGCCAACTCACTGAGTTAATCACGACTGTGAAAACAAGAACTGCTGATCTCACAGCACTGACTGGTTGACAAAGTGGTGAAAGGAAGTCTGTTGATGAGCAATTTCAGCAGCACAGGACAGGAATGGGTTCTGAATTGTTATACTCAGAGATCCAAAAATGGCAGTAGCTTGTTCTTTTTAAGACATCAGCCCAACAGCTATCAGCAGTCCCAAAAAGAAAACTGAATATTAAGTGTTTGTAGGAATAGGGACTGGAAAGCATTTTTATGACACCATATAAACTCCAAATGAACCTGCTTCTTGAATACCGCTGTGCAACTTCAGTCTGTTCATCCATTGTCTCAAATGGAGATAGTTGAACTAAACACACAGAAAAGAAGATAAAGGCACAAAGTTGTCCTGTGCTAAATACCACTATGCAGACTAGGACTCTGCAGCCCAAAAGCTATGCAAGAAGGTGAGGTCTGTAAAGCTGAGTGGCACAGAGTGGATGAAGGAGGATCATTCAATTTTTCCAAATAAACCTGCCTCCAGCTGGTTTCAGAATATAGGGTTTGTTGGCTTAGCACAAATAAGGTATTTCTTCAGGAAATGCACAACTAAGGTGTTGAATTCCTTTGCTACACCATAACTGACCTGAATGCGTTCAAAAGGCAACTGACATCCGCAGAAGGAAAATCCATTGAGTGTCGTTAAACACAAAGATACTGCTCTGGCTCTGGAAATTCCTGAGCTACAAGTCACTGCAAGTTAGGGGAATATGCAAGGAAGATACCTTCCCCACCCTGGGTTGCTGTCAGATATGGGACAAGATGAACCTTAGGTCAGGCCCTGCACAGGTGTTCTTACATTTTTTCATCTTCTCACTGGTGACAGGGATCATCCATAATAAATTTGAGATCATTAGGTCACAAATACAGAGCCATGATTTTGTTACAGTATTTGATAAAAGCACGCACTTAGCATGCCTATGAATGGCACTCCAGGGAAAGGGGAGTCTCACAAAGCTCAGGGTATCTTTCAGCAAGTACCAGTTCAGTGAAGCACTAGAGGGCACCTATGCTTCACTGAAGTACCTGGCACAGACTGCTGCTACCGTCCACAGGAGCAAGGAGGCACCACAGCAGTACCACTGACAGTCCAAATCACAGATTGAGCTTGTCATCAACTCCAAGAGGTTCTCAGACTTCTAGGAAGGCAGGAGAGGTTGCCCTCAAGCAGTTATGTTTCTATCCACCCAAACACTGGTGTGTCCTCAGTCGAAAGGAAAACCCACCTTATTTTTCTCCATCTGCACAGTAAACCCAAGGACTCAAATAAGGAGTGGAAAAGAATAGATGAACCATCCCAGAACAAAAGCCTACTAAAGTCACTGGCTGAAAATTTTGCAAGTTATCTTGCTACAGAAAGAGACCTGTTAAGAGTTTAAGCAAGCACCACGCTCCTACTCAATGATGTTGACATCGACACATGAGGGTTTTTTTTAAAAATGCTAAATGTCTGGTACAGGCATACTATGTCAAATCTTATTTTTCAAACCGTACGAACTGTAAAGAAAAGTTTTAATCATGCAACTATTCTAGTGTGGCAAAAAAAAAATTGTAAGTTCTGGCTTATAGCTGTTTAGCCAAGTACACACTAGAAAAAACAGGAAACCAAAGCCATAGCTAGCAGGTATTATAATACAAGATTCATAAACTGAGCCATTACACGGATTAGGAAAAAAGCTAACAGCTCCAGTCCTCAGTTCCAAGAAAGATTCAGTATTTTGCTTTGTCTTCTTCCCAGAATCAGCTAACTGCAAAAATGTCCTTTTTGACTTGATTTCACAAATGAAGAGAACCTACCACAGCTTGTCAAAAATGGTTTCACTCTCTTGTGAGACAAAGCATGGTATTACCTTTCCTCTGAGTGTACGCACATCAACAAAACTATTCGAGCACTTCCAGCATGCGTAAAAATGTTCCTCTCCTTAACACTAACAGTACACTTGAGAAAACAGTTCTGTAAATAGTTCATGGAAGATTTGTAAATGATGAACATTCAGTAGTTACCTTAACCACAGGGATCCAATACAAAGAATAAAAGCAAGTTATAAGGCATGCAGGGCTACATTCATCTTTCAATGTAGATATTTACCTCATCGTCTCCCAGTGAATTTATTTGTTCTAATTTTCTGGTCCAGTATCTGGCCTCTTCTTCAGGGATATCTATACCAAAAGAGTAAGTCACACCATCTTATTAACCAGGCAAATTTGCATTTATCACTAGTAGCACTAGAACAGGGAGGGTATTCCAAGATCACACCACAAAAAGAACACACTTAATTTTGAAATAATAGGACTGTCTTATGTTAGCACTCAGATGGAAAATAAACATTGTAAATAGTAACACGGTTCAAGGGCTTACATTGCTTTCTTGTTTAAAGCTGATTAACCAAATGCATACTGCACAAAGGTAGGAAAGAGTAAGACACACTGGTTCAGATTTAATTCAAGTATTAGTTTTATGAAGAGCCATTCTAATTTCACTCACTATATGCTTGATAACACATAGCAAGATCAAGAGCCTTTTCCGGAGGCTTTTATAACCTCAAAAGAACAAGAGGTCCTCTTGAATAGCACATCTTACTTACGTACCTGGTGTAACACAAATTCATTACCAAAAAAATAGTCTCGTTTTCCTTTGCATGCAATAAGCCAAATCTTTTGAGGTAATAAACAGTATTATAGGCAGTCATATTCACATGAAAGCACACTCCTATTTTTACACCATACTGCAACTTCATTGTGAAATGAATCACAACCACCCTTTTACCTTCTAGAAGATTTACCAAGTTGATGACTAACAGCAAGTAGCAAGCATTATCACCTTATTTTGGTAACTATTTTCTATTTCACACTTCGAAGTAGTATAGCGTCCTAATGGTTCGAAGGGAACACAGACTTCTGCCACTCAAAATTTCATCTCTCAAAGTGCACCCTTGGAGGTGCGGATGAACTGCTGAGAAAAGCTTAACACAAGGCAAGTTAGGTAGAAACTGTGCTTAAGGAATAGAGCAAGAGGTACACAGCACCAAGGGAAATAATCCACTGAAAGAATAAGCATTAGTCAAGTTTTCAATCCATGAGAATTACGTAAATTATTTAGGGACAGGGGGTGTAAAATCATTGGAAAGAGGGGAAAAAAGTTTGGGTTTTTTTCTTTTAGCCCTGACTATAGAGCGGTTGGTTGGTCTTGCCTCCAAGAAGGGGCAATGACTTTTGAAATTTGGCTGTTCGTGGCCTGAAACTGCACCAACGCAGAAACTTCAGAGCTCACACAGGAAGAGGCAGGGACTGCTCCAGCTAGACACCACCAACCCTGCAAGCCTCACCATCCTGAACGCTGACAAATGAGGACGAGTATAATACCAGTTCAGCTAGTTTTCCCACCTCTTGCAACTCTTTACACTCTCAGGTGCCTCATTAGGAGCCAAGAAGTTTACATCTAACAAGTTTGTTTTCCTGCAATGAACTGTACCCCATGAACACAGCCACAATGATATGCTAAGCTATGCATTGGCAAGAATGAGAGAAGCAGACTGGGATGGTCTCCTGATGAAAAAGTGGATCTAAAAGTTACACCCACTCTCGCTCCTGAGAGAAACAAGAACAAGAAGAAGATTTATTGGCAGGTTAGCATTCCATTGGGACCTATGATGCTTTCAGAAAGGACCAAGTATTGCTTTCTTCTTATACTTAAAGGGGATATCTGTCCTACGTGTGTCCTCTCTCAGCTACACAAACCATCATGTTATGAAGCCAATGACCCCAAAACACCTGGAGATGATAGTGGCCAGTGTACTGGAACACGAACTGCTTTCAACAAGAACAAGGAACATGCCAGATTTAGTGGAATTTGAAGTTTCAGAAGTAGGTATTTCCTTGGATGGCAAATGAATGTCTACACCTTTGTGACAGAAGCGCTATTGTATTTTTATGCAACTAGTCTCACCCATACAAGTGGGATAAAACAGGTCCCACTTGAGAAAGTTTCAGGGAACTGGAAACTTAGTACCTGGCTCTAGAAAACCTGCATTAAGTAGAAAAAAAGATAACCTATTTCTCCTTGCTTGAAGGGAGACCAGAAAAGTAATACATTTTAACTATAATACACAGAGCCAGTTGCTCTTTCTGATGTACAGTACATTGCTTTGTTTTATATGCTATTAGAAAACAAGGTAAGAGAAACATGAGAGTCTTCCACAATTACAGGAGTTGTAGAAAAACATACATGCTTTTGATCATCAAGGCTGGGGATCACAGCTGCACAGATTTATCAGATGAGCTCCACACAAATTAGGGATAGCATTCAAAGGAAACCTGGACAGAATTGATCTAGAAAGCAGACATCAATTAACTGAAAGACTATCAGCACACAAACCTGATGAGATTTAGGAGGACAAACTCCAACAAAGACCTGAAGCAATCCAAACACTGAAGCAAAGCCTATGGAATTTTGTCTTTGAAAGCCATCACTTCCCTAAAAGATGAAGAAATACTCATGAACTGAGGACTAAAGGTCAGAGTCAAACAACAAAGGTCTGGAGCCTGAAATCAAGACCAAAGAGATCTAGGAGGGATGAAGCAATGGATTACCATCAACACTGTGGGAACAGCAGTTGTCTCAGGGTAGACTTCAATGCTTTCCCATTGACCATGGTTTAGCGGCATGCCCAGGCATCAAGGAGCACCATGTGTCTCTTGGATTTGTTGTTCCTATCTTGTATCAAAGATGCCTGTTTCATAAACAGAGCTATCAGGGTTTTAGTGCAGGATTGCTGCCATTCTATTCAAACAGTTTCTTATGCAAATCAGAGATAAAAATCTGCTACTGTCTAAATACTGGCTGCTTGAAGGACATTTTCTTGATCTTAGAGAAACTCGTCGTCAATATTAATGGCAGTACAGCTACTGCACAGCAAACCTTAAACATGAAGCAATTGTTCTATGACCTTAAGTCAATTTACCTGCTCAGAAGAATAAATGCCCAATGAGACAGAATTCTCAATTTTTTGAGGAAGCAGTTTATAACTATTTTTCAGTTTCACCATCTGTTTGTGTCTCACCTCAGTCAGCTGTTTTGTTGAAGCTGGTTCTTTGGAATGCAGAGAATGGAAATCCCTAGTGCAGAGATCACAGACTGACTGCTTGCAAGGCCACGTCCACTTGCCAGCTCCTACACCGCTGCTCAGCTTTGATTACAAGTCCAAGTTACTCCACTACATTAACTTTTGCTTACATGATAAGAAGCTGAACTAGTCCAAACAGAGGACATCTGATGCCAGCTGAGGACTCCACTGACATCATGCTTGGTAAACAAGAGGAGGAAGGCCATATGTCAGTGAAACAAAACTGCTGAACAAGAACAGAGAGGAGATGGGCAGACATGTTCACTAGCTTTTGGGGTTTCTTAATTTGATACCAACATGGAAAGGTTGCAAGCTTTACTGTCCTTGCTGCTACTGCTGTCTTCAGCTGGAAGCTGAACCTCTTGTCTTCTCTGGGCTTCTGGTGTCAGGGAGCAGTGAAGTCCGGTTGCTCCCTATGAGAAGGGAGGCAAGGGAGATCCCATGGCTGGCAGGGCAGGGGACTTGCTAGCCAGGGCAAGTCCTACAGCACATGAGCAAGTTGAGCAGGGCAGGCCCAGAGATCATGGCCAGGTTCAACCAGGAGCCCAGATCAGCAGGCAGGTCCATGGTGACAAGGCAGGTCTGAGGTCAAGCCAGGAAGTGTCAGTCCACTTCTGGGCCTGGATCTATGGGGTCCATAAGCAGGCACAGACATGGCTATGGATGAGGTGGGGGATCAGTAACTCCCACAGCATCACTCAGGAGTGAAGGCTCAGAGCTGAACTGAGGTGAGACTCCTGGGCCCATGAGCAGGGACTCTGGGTGGAGGTTCCAGATGAGGCTGCTCAAAGCAATTAAGACTTATCAGTGCACCCGGGGCCCTGACACCTGGATACAGTGCACCACCACAGAAATGGGAACACAGCAGTACAGAGACTTATCAGACTGAGGAATCAATTAGAGGAGAATTTGCTGCATCTATACAGACCACTTCACTCACCGTTAGACCCCCTCAAGTACATAAACATGACAGTATTTCCGCTTAGAGACCTCTTGGTTGGCTAGGAGTTTCAGCCCTAAAGCTTTTCTTCACCTCAGTCTTGGTGGTCCTTGCTCTACTCCTTGCACATCACCTTGTGCCATCTGAGTTTTTCCCAGGTAGCAAATCCTGGGCCCCAAGCAGGCATGAGTATGAACAGGTGCTGGAAGTAAAAGTGATACCCTCTCTCTCCCCACTTTCCTACAAGCCTTCGCTTGGCTTCCTCCCTTCCCAGCCCCAATTTCTTCCCTTTCCAGAGGTACAGGAATCTTCACAAGTTCTCGCTGAAATAACTTTGCAGAGCTGAGCACTTCTCTTTCTGTACAGTTCCCAAGACAATAAAACAACAAAGCAGACAATAAAACAACAAAGCACATTTACTCCACCTGATGGCTGAACTCAGATCAGCATGCTCCCAGCCTGGGACTGGTGAGAACACTAAAAGCATTTTCACTCCAATTATCTACTAGAAACAGCCTGGCACAGACCCAAACCGCTATAGTTTGGAAGCGAAAAGCATTTTTGAGTACTCCATCCTGTGAGGGACTTGCACATAGCCACTGCACTTCTCAAAAAGGGGAACAGAGTAAAATTGCTTTTAAAAAGCACAATTTTACACTTGAAAAGGAGCATCTTGGAAAGTCTGTGCCAGCACACATTCACTACATGAAGACAATAATAGCAAGACTGTCTTCTCCCTACCAGCAAATTTTCTAAACCAACCAAGAAGAAAAGCTGTCTTCTTTCCTTGATATGTCTGTCTTGTTCCTGAGAAGAAACAGACGCGATCAGCGGAGAAAGCTGCTCCAGCATGTCTTCACTAACAACCACTTCCTCCCATCAAGAAGGCAACTTATTGCCATTTTTAAAAGACTACCAAGCATAAAAATGCTTTGCACCCTAGGGGTTAATATCAACTCTCACTAACACTTCACATTTCAAATGCTCATGCTTTGCTGCACTTTTATAGAAAAGGATTTTCAGTCATTCTGTTTCTGTGAGATTGAACATTTAAGAACATAGGGCTAGCAGAGAATGTTAGATGACAGTCTGGTCCCCAACACCGCAGTCCATCACACACAGATGCTCACTGCAGAAGGGCCCAGAGACCTGCTCTCTCCCGTGTACACCACAAGCCAATGTCGCACTAACAACACTACTGAACACAAAGCAAGAGCTATATTTGGAACATGCAATGGGACACACGGAGGATATATCAAAGCCACCATAGATGTTCTTTGTCCCATTAGAAATCCGCACATTAACAAAGTCTAACGCCTGGATGATCTCAGGAAAGGTTATTTTTTATCACCAGGAGCAGAGACTACAACTCTCACCAGCCTCTGTTAGGATATTGCTTCCCAACTCCAAGCCCGGTAAACACTTGAAAACAACTTCATATGAAAAAGAAAAAAAAAAAAAAAAAAGAAAATCTGTAAGTTGCCTTCATCAGGTATTACCACTAGCAGCATCAGCACATTCTGCATTTATTTGAGCTTTAGCTGTTGCCAGTCTCCAGAGTACCAGGAGAAGACATACCAGTGAGGAAGAATCCTGTACATATCAGGTGGAAGCAGAAGCAGCAAACTAATCCGGGATAAATATAGTGCAAACAACAAACCAGTTTCTAAACCTCTTTGCATATGCAATCAAGTTTACACCAAGGACTTCAGCTTTTCTGATTTTCAAATTTGTTTATTCTCTCTTAAAATCCCTTAAAAACTTCTCAAGTTCCACCTAAATACAATGAAACATTTCAAATACACAGACTAAGTAACCTGGGGTACTGCATCCATGTGCATCATCTAACCTAAATGAAACAGAGCAGCCAGAAATAATAGAAAAAAGCACAGAAGCACAGCCAAACAGAAGAACAGACTACTTTGTTAAAGCTCCTATCCCAGACAGCTGTATTTTACCAGACTTGGAAAGCAGCACAAGTTGTACATGTGCACACATATCGCTCCGGTTCTCGTGTATCTACAATAGCCAGCAGATCTTCACCTGGGAAACAAAACACGATACACAATGTTCCTAAGTGTCACTGCAAACATGCTGTTATTAAAACGTTACCTCTACAGCAACAGAGCTGCTGACTTAAGAACTTCCACAGCAGATCAATGATCCATTTAGTTCTCTGTGTAGATTTAAAGCAGCAGTTCCCAGCTCATATGACAACAGTCTTAACATGTGGGGCACTACGAGTCCATACTGCTACCCTCCACTTAGAGGGAAACTGATCTGCAAATCCATTGGGAGAGACGCAGAGGCAGTGCTGTGAGCTGAGCTACTTCCATGCATTCCTCCAAGTCTCAGTACTGCAAGGGCAGGGAGACAGAGTCTAATCCATCTTGCAGGGTCCTTCTCTATCCTAGAGGTGATGGCAGGAGACGTTCAGTCATGGTGTGAAGGGAAGCACCGCTGGAGAAGGTGATATGGGTAGATGCTATCTTCCAGAGGAATATCCCACACTCTTAGTGCCTACCTGCTTCTGAACTTGCTATGGCAGCACAGACTGAAAATGGAGAAGATCCAAGAAAAACTGCAGCACTCTTCAAGTAAAGAGCAGCAGAATCCTTGAAACACCTAACTGATGCACCCATTTTTCCTGGACAATATGAAATACTGGACAGGCAGACAACTTTTCACACTCCAAAATAAAAACCCTTCAATACAGCAGTGTGGCATTCATGTTATTTCAATATTTGGCGTAGTAAGCAAAGGAATAAGTAATAGATGTGCTTTAAATGACCAATTGTGTTAAAAACAGAGAAGTCACAAAAAGCTTGTTATTTACTTAATGTTTTCAGTTTTCTGCATGAAATCCTACTTCTCAGAATTCTATGTTCTATAATATATCACACGTTTTAAATATCATACGTTTTAAAATAGTAGTAAAAAACCCCAAACAAACAAAGAAAAAAGGAGTCCTTTGTTTTGAGTATAGCAGTAGGGAGAAAACACACTATTACCTGAAATTTTTTTCTTTTTTTTTTAAAATCCAGAAGCTCTAACACATAATGGTTTACAGAGAGTCTGTTTTCCTACACTTGAAAAAAGGAAACAAAAAAAAAAAAAAAAAAAATCACAAAATGTAATGCAGTCCAAAACACGAATTGCAGAAGAAAGCAAGTTCTCTTTTGGACACTCTCTGAACACATCGGGAGAGATCAGAATTTCATTTTCTTTTAAAGCAGAGATGGTTTACAAGCAACTATGTCAGAGTGAACTTAGATGAGAAGGTACCGACTACAAGCCTTACCTTCAGCTACGTGTGCTGTGTTCTCTCCCTCCCAGAAGCCTAAAAACTTGCCCCAAAGAACCAATGTTTCACCTCACAAGGAAATCAAGTGAGTTGTTTCTCTTCTTACATAACAAACAACTTCAGTAACAAACTTCCCACTGACAGGATGACAGCAGTGAATCACCAGGACATTTTCATGAGGAAGAGGGATGGCTCCAGACCAACGTTAGACAGCTGAGTTGTCAAGACAGCTGAGATGTCAGATACCTTTTCCCCTTTACATCTTGGACCGTAGTCAAAGAGCAGTGCCTACTACATCTACGAAACACTGCCCTCACCCTGAAATGCACCATCCAGCCAACTGTGCACACAAAACAGCACACCCAGCTTAGCTCCTAGAGCACAAGATACAATTTATATCGATTTTAGTGCTGCAGGGCCAAAGCCTGCATCCTCCCTTGCACGAGGAAGGGGGGTGTGAGACTAATAGATGACCTAACTTTTTTCCACAACAGATGGCCAACCCTGACAGTTGCTGGCCAAATGCCAGCGGGTGCACAAATGCTCCAGTGCTTAGAGCATGATGCAAATTGCTCACACTGTCAAGGTCTCGGCTGCAAAAAAAAAAAAAGCAGCAGCAGGCAGAGGAGGAGAGATGAGCCTTGCAACAACAGACAACTTTGAAGCACTCAAATGCCCAATGCAGAAGAAAAAATACCACGAGCCCCAAAAGCATCATCTTTGTTCTTGGCCCCCAGAGTCAGCTAAGAGCTGGAAAGAGAAGCTATGTAAGCTTTGGATGCATTCTGGTTAAGTCCTTCCTTTGGGGATTTGTTTGCTTGTTTGGGGGTTTTTTTGTTTGGATTCAAGTAAAATAAAATTTAAAAAAAAAAAATCACACACAATTTTACTTGATATGGGTTTGCTCCAGTTAGCTCTTTTCCACATTCTGCACTTTTCAACCACAAATAATTGCCAGAAAGGCAGTTCTTCTTATAACACCAAGTTACTTATATACTCTGCTAATGATAATGTTCAGGAGAACTGAGCATTAATGCTTCACTAACTGAACTGCACGCTTCTAACCAGGTTTAAGTGCATCTACCACAAAACAGCTCTAACAACACACTTGACCTCTTCTCGAGCCAAATTTGTCTAGATACAAAGAAGTGAATGTTCCCTACTCAGGAACAAAATGTCTGACTGCACAATCCTGAAATAGTATTAATAGTTTCTTAAACTGCTGCTAGTCTAAACTTTCCAGCACTCTGAGACCATCAAATCTTCCTTATTTATTCTGATCTTGTTAGAAAGAAGCCAAACAAGAAATGTACACCAGTGATTTAATTTGCACTGAACTATTTGGGCTGAACGGTGAACAAGCACAACTTGATTACAAAACTCCAGCTGCTCCCAAACACTTTCTCTCCACTGTCAGCACCCTGAGTAAGTTATTGAAATGCACTCACCAAAAGGTAATTCGAATCTTGTGTCCAGCAAAATTTTATGAGGAGTTGGGTTTTTGGTCCCACAGATTTCATCATGTTTCATTACAACTTCTGCCTCCAGCGTAGACCACTCCCCAGGACCTTCCTGTGAATCACAAGCCACAGGTGAAGCTTCAAGTCTGGCAGGTCCTTATGCAGCGACTCTCACACATCTGCTAAGATAAAAGACTCCAGGAAGAGCCTTACAGTATTATCAAGACCTGGTACCTGATTTTAACATCAAATTACATTCATTCAGCACATGCTGGCAGCTTTTCTTCCAAATCTCAAAGGCTTTTACCAAGACAAGCAGCAAACACCTCCTAGTAGAACTACTGCCTTCTCAGTGGAACTGCAAAGGTAAGTCCTCAAAGGCAGACACCAAGGAGTGTCTGGACAGCCAGAGGAACTGAGCACCAGCTAGACCTTATGGCCACATTGCTGGGCATACCCACCATTTTCCTTTCATGGAAAATATAAGCTCTCTCTCCCTGTTCAAATTCAATAATCTTTTAAATAATTGCCCTGCAACTGGAGGTAAAGAAACAAACACGTCCTGCTTACCTGCAAGAACCGCCAAATTCAGTAGTTAGGGCAATTACAGACATTGGCACATCCCATTTCCTACTTTTTTCAATTCATATTAGCACCACTAGAGACCCTTTAACACTGCAACCAGAAACATGATGTAGACATGCTCTGGGCCTACCTTAAAGGTCAGGTTGTCTGTTATCAGGGCACCCTCTGTCTTTAGCAGGAACTTACAGAAATTTGAGCATCAGACTAAGGAGTTAGTCCTTAAGACTTCAGACACATGTCAACTATATGCCTTCCCTAACAGATTAAGCCCTGTTTTCTGAGTCCATGTGAGTGAAACGAGACCAGAGATACCTACTTAAGCTCAGTTTTGGTCTCACTGTTGGCAGCATCCTTAAAAAAAAAAAAACAAAACAAATACAACAAAACCAACCAAACAAAAAAAACCACCACCACAAACAAAAAAAAAATAACCAAAAACCCCAATGTGATGCTGACAGACCTCTTCCCCCACCCAACCTTCTTGGCTTCGCAAGTGGAAGTTTTGCTGAGGAGCACAGCCCTGGGCTGCACCAGGCTAGATTTGTAACACATTAACTATCAACTCTGGAGCTGTCAAAATAAAGCTTTTGTGTCAGCTTAACCTCATCAGATTGGTGAATGGCCTTCAGAGCAATCCACACGGTCCCAACCAGGGTGTCCCAGATCAGTCCTTTGTTCCATACTTCAACAATTAGGCCCAGGTCCAGCCGACTGATCTCACTGCAAGAAAAGAAAAGGTGGCACAGGTGAGGAAAAAGCAGAATACAATCTAATTCTGTTTTAGGTTCTGCATTACTACCATGACTGTACCAGTGAACTCTTTCCACACAGCTGTGTCAAGCTACAAAGAGCTTCTGGAAGTGTGTGGTTGAGGTGGCTTATACTCACAGGGAACACTGGTTTATAATGACTGATTTCTCACAGTTTAACACTAACTACACAAAGATTGCAAACTAAAACCCTGAACTATCTCATGCATGGACTGACGATTGGGAACTCATCTCAGCAGCTCTATACATAGGAGGAGGAAGCATATCTTGGGCCAAAACCTAGAGGTGAGCTGTTCTTTGTCATCAGGCACCCCATTTCTAACGAAGTGGGTGTCTCCGTCCCTTGGCAGCACGCAACACAAGCGTACCCTGGCAGGTCCAAACATGCCCATACTTATCTGTGAGTGGAGCTGCTGCACGCCAAAAGTAACAGTCCCAAACCCAGCATAGCTGCATCAGCAGCACTACCTATTGCTCAGGGTGCATTGCACCACTTCTGCTCCAGCACTAGCTTCTTCCTCTGCATGACACTGCAATGCTTTGAGAGCCATGCGAATCTCTGGCAGCAAGGAGCAATATAGCCACATGACCACCAAGTGCCAAGTTCTTGGAAATACTTATCTGAAGGTTTTCATTAACATCTTCACTCTCAGTAAGGAAAGGATGCATCCCAAATTCACTTCTTCCCAATGCTTCATAGCATTTACGCCTCCCTATTCCATGCTGGTTTATAACATGCCTACTTAAGAACAGTATAACACATGCACAGCCTGAATGCTGGTAAAAACAATGAGGTAGAGAAGAATCCTGAGCTGTCTGTTGATACACAACTGTCTCACACTTATCATGAAGAAAGGCTATTGGTTTTACTTCTTTGAGCTCCAGACTTCCCCCTAGTGCAACTGCTAATCCCCAGAAGTAGGTATCTTGGACACGCAGTGCTGCTGCCCGCTGTCCTTCTGTCCAAATGTATCCACATTAGGTTTATCAAGGCAATTTAAAAGCACGTTAGTCGCTAATTTCTATAGACTGCCATCATGGCCAAAAAAAAGAACAGCTGCAAATCCCAGCATCTATTTGAGCTTTGCCCCAGAGACTTCTTACAACTTTAAAAGAGAATATTGTATCTACAATAGTTCAAGACAAACCCTACAGCTACAGCAAAGATTAAGATCTATTACACATTAAGATCTATTTTAAACCCAAGCGCTTCTGTTCTTGTTTAAGGACACGGGAATTGAAGACAGGAGTGTCCAGTACTTGGGTGACTCAGTCTACATAATTCAAAATCAAGCTATTGCACAGGTTTATTATGAGTTTACTGCTAGCATCCTGAACTTGAGTCTTCAGCTCCCTCTATTTGGATATGGCTACTCAATATGGCCACGCTAACAACTAGCCACCTGCACCATCACTGCTCTGCTCTCCCACTGCTTGCCTCTTAGAAGATGATACTTACCTGATTGCACAAACTTGCAATAACAACAAACAGAGGAAGGGAAGGGAAGGAAGAAATACTGTATTTTCAGGCACACTGTAAAACCACATTCTTTGCTTCAACATACATTGACAAAGCAAGACATTGATCATAAGACACTCATCAGGCTTCTGTACTGAACTCCACAGCACAAGTCACCAGATAAGAATAAAAAATAAAAGATTTTAAGTACAGTGGCTTTGATTGCCTTTGTGTCTCCCTTTCTCCACCTTCTGGTTAGATGCAGAATAGCTTCAAAGAACGAAAGAGCTGAGACTGGAATTTAGTGTCCCTCCCTTTCCATACACACATAGAATTTAAATAAAAGACATTTCTAACAACTTCAACACCGATTTAATGGTCATGTTCTAAACATCAAGTTGCACTTTCACTCAAGAGGTGCTTGCTGCAAATATGCAGTCCTTCTAAAGCTGCTTCAAAATTAGAAGATCTCCCCAAAGAAGACATTAAAGTGCTTTACTGGTCTGGTAAATAAGCAAATCTCAAACATCCCCAGAGCCCCGAAACCTGAAGTGTTAATGTCTCCCAAGGAGTTTGGAAGCAAAAACAACAAACACAGCTAGAAAGTGTTTTCTTGGTTGCAGTCTATTCTTCTACTATGCCTCATAAAAAAGGTAAACACAACACAGACAGTAAAAGCATCCTTCCCTCAGGGAAAAATTACTGTCTTCAAAAGCCTTTTCCAACTTCAGAAAGAAAAAGAGCAAACCAGTGAACCGAAGATCAGTGTTATTTCTCCTGGGACAACTTAATGTACACAGGATCATGCAAAACACATTCCCTGCCACATGTAATATTTTTTGTCATAAAGAAACACGGTAACAACTGTGCTGTTGCTTGGCTAACGCAGGGACAATAATGGTGAGGTAGTTCAGCTAATATTCTGCTTTCATATCCCCTAGCAACTAATTACAGAGCAGCACAGTGACCTTACAGCATGCTAGCTAAGCTCCCAGCTGATATCGGAGAGCAGTTCCAGGAGCTGTTTGAGGGCAAGGAGGAGGAGCAACTGTGAGGGCAGTCAACCAAACACAAAGAAGTGCCATTCTTAAATCACTGGTGAGCAGCCTCCTCTGTAGCTGGCCATGTTTAAAGCTAGTTCCTGCCCACACGTAGTACACAAATCACAGGAAGAATGAATTAGTAGTTTGGGTATGGGCATGTGATTTGGCAGACAGGTACAATTCCCTGCCCCAACCTTACCCCAGTTCTATGTGGTTTATGTCAGTGACAGCCTCAGCTTCTGTCTGACCAGGAACCACAGAGCTGTGAAGCTGGTAGTTCAGGAGCACACATGTTTCAGCAGATGTGAAAGGATAGGCTCCAGACTCCGTACAGAAGCACACACCTCATGTGCTGCTCCAAAAGCAGAGTGTCACAAAACAAGGGAGATGGGAGCACAGCTATGATGGCAACACTGTACTGACCCAAGTGAACTCAACCAGAGGCAAAAGCGTCCCACTTTTGGCAGAGGAGAACCAACTGCTGCTGGATTGGGAAACATACTCACAAAATCCCATGTGGGTCTCTTGCTACGGATACTATACAAACACCTCAGACCCAGGCAAAACCAGCAGCACTAGCTTTGACTCCACAAGATGAGCACCACATCATTTCCCCCCTCAACAGCAGTGTCCAAGCCAAGTTCAGAGACAAGCACTTGGGAGTCCAGGATTTAGTAAATTTAGTTCACTTTGTCTTACAAAGCTATAGAAACAGAAGCAGATGCAATGTATCAATGAGTCATTCATCCACCAGTAAGAAAACCACCATTCTAAAAGATACTGGGAAATCCCTGGCTACATGTCAGGACTATGAGGACCAGAGCAAACCAGAGGTGCCAACTGCACCAGAAACCCTGGGAGAGCTGGAACTGGTTCTGTTGCTTGTGGCAGGGACTGGCAGCCCCTCAAGCTGCAGCAGGGGAGCTGGAAAACACATTCATTGGCACCAGGCCAATGGCAGAAAACATCAACCCACAAGAGCAGCTCCCACACTGAGCTAACCAGGATCACCATGTCGAGGCCCTCAGTGCACTAACAACAGCCCTTAATTGCTCTGACCAGCCTCACCAGCTGCCTCCACCCACACCCTCTTCCTATGGCCCAGGAGCTCCATTTAAGCTCAGCTACGGGCCTTCAGTCCTTGCCTAAGCTATGTTGTAGGGGTGTGTGGTGGGTTGACCCTGGCTGGACGCCAGGTGCCCATCAAGCCACTCTATCACTCCCCCTCCTCGGCTGGACAGGGGAGAGAAAATATAACGAAAGGCTCGTAGGTCAAGAGAAGGACAGGGAGATCACTCAGCAATTACCATCACGGGCAAAACATTCTCAAGTTGGGGAAAAAAAATTAAATTAATTTATTACCAATCAAATCAGAGCAGGATAATGAGAAATAAAACTTAAATCTTAAAATACCTTCCCCCCACCCCTCCCTTCTTCCCAGGCTTAACTTCACTCCCAATTTTCTCTACTGGCTGCAGTAGCACAGTAGGTTTTTTCCCCTTCTTAAATATGTTATCCCAGAGGCACTACCACCAGTGCTGATGGGCTTGGCCTTTGCCCGCGGTGGGTCTGTCCTGGAGCCAGCTGAAATTGGCTCTATCAGACATAGGCGAAGCTTCTAGCAGCTTCTCACCGAAGCCACCGCTGTAGCCCTCCTGCTACCAAAACCTTGGCAGCCAAACCCAATACAGTGTGCTTGTCCCCAGCTTAGGCGCAGCTGTGCCATGCCTGGCCATGGACCACATCAATCCAGACCCAACCCACAGACTGACTTCCCAGCTCAACCTCAGACTTGCCTCGTCACCACAGACCTGACTGGCAATTGCTGGACTATGTCTGACCCTGATTATCGTTTCCCTGAGCCTGACTTGCTAACTTGCACTCCCACCTTGACCTTGGACCTGCCTCGTTACTACAAACTTGTCTGATGACCTGATTTCTCAGCAGACATGGCCTGATCCTTAGGCCTGTCGCGCTTGCACTGCTCAGGTACTGTGGGATGGGCCCTGGCTGGAGCGGACCCTGCCCTACCAGCCATCCTACCACACTCTGCTTCTGGCTCCCTGTCCCTGCAGGAGCAGCTGGCCCTCGCTGCACCCTGACACACAGGTCTAAGAACAGAAATCCAGGCAACTTGGTACTGTTAAAGGACTCAGGCTACTCCAGCCAGTCTGTGGCACTAGCAGAGACACTCTTCCAACACAGCACAGGTCAGCGTGTACAACAGAAAAGCAAATGATTTAGGTTGCATTTTACCTACCTAAGTACTCCAACTTACAAAACACAATAGCAGCTCCATACAAATGTCAGTGCTGTGGAAGGACTCAACCACAAGCACCTCATCGCTGCGCAACACTGTACTTACAACATGAAGTCCTGTTCCCAGCAGGGTTGGTCACCACGCACGGCTACTGTCGTGCTCTTCACATTTTGCACTTTGAGGGTCACATACGTATTGAATTTATCTGGGGAACAAGAGGCAAAAAGTTATCTCCTTCAGTATACCCTTTTATCACATAAGCACAACATTTCAAGGTTTTCAGTCCAGACATTGCATCCCAGGGGGACCCAAAATGAAAAGCCCATATGGGAAGACATCACTGGGTTAAGCAGCCAAATGTTCAAGATGTTTTTCACCTGCCATCAAATTTTCAATCACAGTTTTTTAGAAATTCACGCACAAACAAAAACAGGCAACTAAGCACTTGCAGTAAGTCAGAGAGTGTAAAATCCCGAAGAACACAGACACTTTTCATGTAACATTCTGCTTACTGAAATGCCAATGAGAGGAAGAAGAAACAGTCTGAAGGAACAGGGCCCATCATGCAGACGATGCAGAGCGAAAAACAAACTTGCAGAACATACAAGCAAGAAGCAGTTGGGCTGGTCATATCACGTCCTCCCTTCTGACCCAACTGCTCTCCTAGTTCCAACGTGGTTTTCCGCCCATGAGTCCACAAAGAACTTTACAGACCAGTCACATCCTCAAGCTTTATACTAACTCAGGCTGCCTGGACTCTCGGAGTAGCTTTTGTCACTCGTAAGGAGAACATGGAGGAGCAGAGAGGAGGTAGATAAAAACTGGAGGGAGCAGCACGAGCAGGAGTGAGAGAGCAGGTGTCACCATTGCTGCAAACAAGTAGAAGAGCATAGCTTACCTGGTGGTCCTTGGAGTTTAGCTTTTTTTACTGCAAAGAGAAAAAAGGGGAAAAAAAAAAAGAGGCTGTTAGTGATTTTGTCCTGCTACAGTTTCATTGGAGTCAGAGTGTCACAGGCCATCGCATTAATTGGACAATGTCCCCCAGTAGAAGTCTGGTAGCTGGAAATCCTCACTCCTTTAACAGTTAACAGATGTGGAGGCAAAACCTCTGCTGTACCCCATCTCACTTCTCTAAATCGATGCATTTAAAAAATAATCATAGGATTAATGTTTGGAAAGCAATGTGATATGGCTAATGCAAAGCAATTTCAAAACCAGTGCTTTGCAATGAGAAATTATTGCTGCTCAGCAAGACGTCATTTCATACCACCTCACTTACAAAGTTACAGACACTCTAGAAGAAATAAACATTTCTTTAAAAACAAAGAATCTTTCCTCAACAGCGCAGAGCAGACTTTCAACCACAACTTGAAAATAGTCAAGCCGGAATAGTAGCTCTATAGTAGGACATCCGCAAATCAAATTAACCCGCTATGCCAAACAAGCAGCAGTCTAAATTCAAATGTCACTTTTCTGAGCTCTCCTCCGTTAATTTAATTCCAGGACAGTATTTATCAAAAACAGTGGTTAGAACATAAAACAGCACTGGCTCTTATCTCACTGGATGGAGAAGGTCCATGTCTACCTAGGGGAGATTTTGTTTACATTTCTCTTTTGCAAGCTCATATCCTCACTGGTATTGCTAAGTGTAAGCACTAAGAGAAGACCTCTAGGCTCCAGCTAGTTTTCCCAGTGGAAATCTAACACTAAGAAGAAAACATATTTAACAAGCTAGGAAGCAAGATACACCTGAGAGAAAAAAGATTTAAAAACTGGTGTAGTGAAGTTTCCTCCAGAAAACGGAGCACCCAACACTTACTGAAGGCTCACAGAGTCTAACTTCCAAGATAAATGTTCTAGAAAGGAACATTAAAAATAAAATAAAATAATGGCCCTTACACAGTTACACGCACAGAGCTGCAATGGAGTGTGACGCTGGAGAACACCTTTGGTATTTGAGAAATTCTTCTTTGCAAGCATTTACAGTCCATGTAGGTATTTGCATGAAGGAAATGTTATACCAGGTACAGTATGAGCCAGAGGCGTCTCAAACAGAAGCTACAAGAGCTGTAGCTTTTACCTAAACTGCCAAGGCCCAAGAGCCTTTAGGTCCAAAATAAACGGGTTCATTTTTTCCCAGGTTCAGGGCCTGAAGCATTCCTGATGCTAAACCTAATGGTGCAAGCAAAACATACAATGGTGCG